TGTGCCCAGAGTGGCCACCAGGGCTCCCTGGGAAGGGCTGGAGGCCCCCTATTTCGAATTAAGGGTCTACACAGCACTTAATCTGAAATAGCTTTTTGAATTTGGTTTTACTCCTCGTAGAATGAGGTTTACCAAATTCGAATTAAGGGCTCCGCTATTTCAAATTTAATTCGAATTAACTTTGCAGTGTAGACATACCCTTCATGAACTTTCAGGGAACAGAGACCTTCATGTAGCATCCTCCTTTCCAAGCTGGATCTCCCCTAGCACCTTACTCTCCTCCCACTGCGTTGGGCTTCCCAACATCTGAACGCCAGATGAAAATTATGAACAGGAACTAGAAGACTTACCTGGCATTGTGTGGGTCTTCAGGATGGTGCAGGAGTCAGGGTTGGGGGGGTGAGGAGAGGTTCAGGGCAGGGCATGGGAAGGTGCAGGATTCAGAACAGAAGTGGGGGGGGCTCAGGGAAGATACTGGGGAAGGTCAAGGTGATGGTGTTGGAAAGTGTGAGGGGTTCAGAGATGGGTATGTGATTACATCACGGCCATTGACGGCCGTGCAGGAGGGGGCGCTGATCGCACCTTACGCCTAGGGCACCAGCTGCCGCAGCCAGCCTCAGGCCACTCCTGATGGAGGGTGCCACATGGCTCTTATATACCTCTCCTGGCATCTTCCTGGCCAGAGCAGGTCACTGCAAGTCACATGGTCCATTGACCTATCCTTGTGTCCCAAGGCAGCAACCATTATTCTGGCTGGCTTGCAGATATCCAGATATTCCTCAGGTGTGTCTCTGGCTCTTAGAGATCTATTGTCTCTGGAGCCTTGCTAATCAGCATAGCCACTGGCTGAACACTCTTTGCCCATTGCTCTGCCTCAGACAGAGAACCTTCCACCATTGACACAGAGTACATAATTATAACTCCTCGTATAGACATTATATAAGCGCATGAATAGCATACACAGAATCAGTAGAACATAAGCTTTCACGTGACACCCCACATGACCCCCTTGGTACAGACTTTTGGGGCACACCCCACACATGGATGCAACAGTGATCTGGCTTCTCCCTTTAAAATCCAGTAACGTGACAGCCCCATAAAGGTTGCAGGGCATCTGAGGCAGCAGAGTTGCAAACACCTCTGCCTCCACCACTCTGGAACCTGCATGGAGCATATCAAAAGCATCTTTGAATCAAGAGCCACTTTTCTCCAGAGAAAGTTATGACTGCTGTGGAGCTCTTCCAGGTGGGAGGTTAACGGGGGAGCTTGTGGCAGAGGCTGGCGGAGGGGGGCAGGGAGCAGCAGCCAGCTGCTGCCCAGGGTGCAGGGATGCTCCAGGAGAGGTGTAGGGAGCATCTGGTGGGGCTGGAGGAGAGGCCTGACCACCGTGCTCTGTATATTGGTGGAGCATGGGCACTGTGGGCCCATATAATTCACTGCATATAGGCATGATCTCAGGCACTTAATTTCTGTGCCTCAATTTCCCCACCTGTGAAAGATGGATATTTCCCTATCCCATGCAGATGCTTCATTTGTTAATGCCTATGAAGCATTCTGCTGCTCTCTGTCTCTAGGGCCCTTATATGACACCTATTCCCACAGTCTGACCCCCTAACCGAATGGGATGTAGTGATCCTCTCAGGACCCTCATGAGGCAAAGGCACTGCAGGCCTTCCCATAACCCTACTGATGTTCAGAAAGGATAATACTCAAATGGGGCTTCAGCTCCTAAATGTACTTAGGTACTTCTGAACATTTTAATCTGAGTGGCCTATGGTCATGCAGGAAGTCTGGTATGAAAAAGGGAGATGAATCTGGTTTCCTGATTCTCAGACAACTATTCTAACCACTGGATAATCCTACCCCTTTATGGATACCATAGAGATGAACACAAGTTAAATGCCTAGAAATCAGGCTCATAACATATGTCACTAAATCCTACATCCTGTAACAAGAAAGATGCTGTATGTTAACTCCTTCACTTCAACTCACCTGGAGGCTATTAACATTCCACTGAAAAGCCACTGAGAATCAGGAATTGGTTGTTATGCCTGATACCAGAACAGGTGTACTCCTCACAGGCACAAGTGGGAGGTTTGACATTAATCTTCTGTATCAATTCAACCCAGACAAGATCTGTTAGACTACATATGAAGCTTTTTAATTTCAATTTATAATAAACCTAGAAGTGTATATGTTATAGTCAATCTATCTGCAGTAACTCACTGTAGTCACTAAATACCAATTGTTTATCAAATCATTGATTGCAGTTTAAAAGAGAAGTAACTGACTACAGGATTATTAAAACTTGGCAAATTTCTCAGCAATAACCAGTTATTCTTAAATGTTCATTTATATGCCTCCTTGAGCGAAGAGGCCCTTCCTGTCCAACTTTTCACTTCAATCCTATCCCTCCTGGAAACACACCCCAAAAAGATGACAGTTAATTTCACATTCCAGCATGTGTCAAACAAAACTGTCCTGCATTTCATTCTGAAATATACCTAGACTTGAAGCCATCCATCAGACAACGGAGCTCAAATAAGAATCCACACAGACAGTGAGAGGTGTGACTACGCAGCGCAAGCTCTTGAAAAGCTATACTGTACATCAAAACACTCTGACATGGTACTTGGTACAGATACATCTTCCTTCTCCCCTCCCCAACTCAGCCCAGTTTGCCAAGGGCATCCTCAATACAAGAGGCTCTGAGTTGAACTTTTACTTTTGTAAATTTGATCTGAAGCTCTTTCCAGTCCTGGGTCTTATTACAAACCTGAGGGAAGTAGGATGAACGAAGGCTATTTTTAGGGACTAGCATTACACATTCTCTCTCCCCCGTTGGGCTCCAAAGATTATTTGCAGATATGCACATTTTGACCACCACAGCAGCTTTTGTCAGCTGACCAAAAAGGCTGCAAGCAGCCACTGACACCCCCTGAGCTCTTCAACTTCTGCCTCCTTTCATCCTTTTAAAAAAATACATTCTCCCATATATAAAATGCCCCAGCCCATCTTGCTGAACCAAGACATTTAAACACCCCCCTTTCATGAAGATATCAGTGTCCCCACCACCACTACCCAAGCCAAACTGTACCTTTACCATCCCACAAACTTTTCTGCTCCTGAGTGATGTACTTTTCAAGCCGTTCTGATTCTCCGGGCACCAACAGCAGCAACACAAGATCACTAAAAGGGTACACGCTATTTCTTTCCACCCTTAATGGGAAATGGGATCTGGGGGCAAACTAGTATCTCTTCTGCGCCAGCCTAATGCATGGCCTGACATTTCAAATCGACTTTATTGCCACATACTTACATTTTAATGTTTTCATGGTACTGCCTGGTGTCTGAAGGCTGGTTGTATAATGGCTGAAATAAATAAGAAAAATGAAGGCATAAATGGTACAGTCTGACATTTAGAAACTTAAACCTGTCAGAAATGCTACTGTAGCAGCTTGGACCTCCAGCTCCTAGAGAGAGACGCCGGCATAGCCCCTTCTGCTCTAATGCTACAGACTTGATGCTGTCTCTGACTGTCCCTCTACCCCACTCTCTTCCTCTCTTTTAATACTATGTAGATGCTGCTTCTTTGTGAACACACTGCAACACTGCTTGAGTCACTGTGCAGCCGAGATCAGCTCGTGGGAGGCAGGCAGCACTCAACAGAGCCAGCTAAGAACAAGCAATTTGCTCTGTAATCCATACAAACACCATGCAGCGCAGCACAGGAAAGGGTGGGGGTTGGAGGGAGAGTGACTGACTGTTATTCACTTACTGAAAATGTAGTGTACCTTGCAACATATGACATGGGGGAGGATAAGGGAGTGGGGTGGGGGGAAACAATCTGTGTGCTGCAAATTGTTATGTCTACTCAAGCCTCTGTAGGAGCCAGCCACAGGGAGGGTGAGATACTGGTGCCGCTCAAGTGAGACAGAACCCTCAGGGTTCCAGCTGCATTGGGATTTCCTCTGTCTCAGGGCTATCACCATTGGGTCGGAGCACATTAATTTTCAATGTACTTATTTGCACGACACCCGCAGGAGGCTGGGCAGTGCTGTGACCCTCAGGTTACCAATGGAGAACTGCAGACAGACACTTTGTGACTCAGTTCAGGGTCACACAGGAAATCTGTGATAGAAAAAGGAACTGAACCCAGGGGGGCCAAGCTAGAGTCCTACGCACTAGGCCACCCATGCTCGTGCTTCCTGAAACATGCAGTGATGAATCAAGAGATCTGTGCCCTATCCCTAGCTCTTACACACTTACTCTGCAACCTTGGACAAGTCGCTTAACCGTTGCCAGCACTGCCACTTGTCACCTAGAGACAGGGGATTTGCCAAAATGTTGCCCTGACTATTCGTGGTCATGCCCAAGGCATAACTTGGGTAAAGTGTGCACTAGTGAGTAACACACAAGCACCTATGGGCCGTTCCCAGAGCAGAGACATGAGTAAATCCTTCTGAGAGGGTGACAGCCATGGTTTAGGGGCATGAAATACATGTGTCACAAAGACTTGGTCATCACACGGCCCAGCAGTCCCTTGCTGGCTCTGACCACAGCTGGACCCAAGCTGTATGGTGCAGGGCTGGATTCCAACTTCCCCAATGTCTTAGAGAGTTCAGAGTTGGGATTTTTGGCTAATGCGCCTCTCCGCCTTAAAGGAACTGACCCAGCTAGCCTCTTCCCAGCATGTCCCTCCGTCGTTCTGGCTCCTGTCAAACCCCTGATGGGAACAGCAGCGTATAGAAAAGTGTTTAGCTTATGCCCAGATCACCTGCAGCTGCCAGACCTCAGCACTCTGAGCCCATGCATCATCTCAGCTGACTAGTTCCACTCCAGTGCAATGCTCTGCTTCTGAGACTTGGCAGAAGCACCAAAAATAAGGAATGTCATTACAAACTTCTCATTTCATGGTGAAGTCTGACTTACCTGGGAGATCCAGGTTCTCAGCACCAATCAGAACAGGCCTTGCATGTCCATTTTTAAAGATGAGAGCAGCTGATGATATCAAGCCTCCTGCACCCAAGTCCCACCCAAAAGCCCCGACTAGCCTTGAGTGGTGGGAACAGCTCCCAGCCCTCACCCTGCTCCTAGTTGCTGGGGGCATCCCTCTTAGCTCACAGCCATGGAAAAGATCCATCAATGAGACATGGAACTTTTACTGGTTGGGAATAAGGTTTCTATGAGAAATAGAGCCCTGGTATCCATTCGGAACTATACAGACACAAAGCCCTGGGGACAAGTCTGAGTTGAAGGAGCCAGGAGAGGAAGCAAAAAGCACCTTGGAAAATCACAGAATCCTAGGATTGAAAGAAATTGCAGGAGGTCATCGAGTCCAGCCCCCTGCCCAAAGCAGGACCAATCCCATCTAAACCATCCCAGCCAGGGCTTTGTCAAGCTGGCACTTAAAAACCTCTATGGACGAAGATTCCACCCCCTCACTAGGTAACCCATTTCAGTGCTTCACCTCCCTCCGAGTGAAAGAGTTTTTCCTAATATCCAACCTAGACCTCCCTCACTGCAACTTGAGACCATTGCTCCTTGTTCTGCATCTGCATTTGTAGATAACTAAACAAGCCCAGAGTTGTCCTTAGGATTTATGGGGCCCTACACAATGCTATTAAACTGGTGCCCCTCTAACAGACAGCAGCCGGGATGGACAACGATTTTTTAGAAATGTGATTTTATAACCTTCAGCAACACTCCAATGAAATATTTTTAAAACAGATTTTAAACTAAGGTCCTGTCGACATACACAGTAAATGCAGAAACTGTACCTGGAATTGACAAATACCTGTTAAACGGCTTCATTGCCATCTGAATGGCTCTTTCACAGGGTTTACTGTTCTGCTAATAGCTCTGGCAGGCGTTTTCACTTTTAAGTTAACTAGATCCTCTTCAGAGGTAAAAGGGCTAGGAAGAGTCAGATAAATGGACATTAAGTCCCAGCGGTGCCCCAAATTTTCGGGTGCCTTATGTAGCTGCTTTCTGCGTATAGATAAAGACAGCTCTGAACAAGCCAGATGCAGCAGGCTCGTGTAAACTGGTGTAGCACCGTCCAGCCGTTGAGGAGATGAGAGCGTTATCTTCCCCAGATGCAGTGTTTTTTTCTTTTATCTTCTTTTGTTGCTTGCCTTCCTGCCCCCACTTGGAGAGCTGTGTCAAGCCCCTGTGTCAGAGGGGAGGCATCTCTGCCCTGGACTGGTCTTGTTAAAAGAGCATCTGATCTGTGCTTCATACATCACAGAATACGATGCACTGCACTCAGGATACCTTTTTCTGCATGGAGGATCTCAACCTGGGGGCTGAGTTACACTGGCTAAGTGGGAAGAAGAAGTTCTGGCACAAGTTTTTCCTCTGCATTACAAATCAGTTTTATACCATTTATATATCAGCGGGTAGCAGAGCAGGCCACTGAAGAATGTGAAGAGGAAACACTGAATGTGACAGAGAGATTGCTGGAAAATGGCACCAGGATGCAATGGCGTCAGTACCAAGAGAGAAAACCAAGAATTCAGGATCAAAACCAAATCAACACATCTAATCACTGGCCTGATTCTTCAACACATCTAATCACTGGCCTGATTCTAAAAATAAGGGTTTGTGAGCATACTCCACACTGTGTTAATAAAGCCAACCATGCCCCGTCACACACAACAATTGACACAATCTCTGTCTAACCACTAAAACAACATCCAACTATGCAGGCAATTTATCCATGAACTTTCTCTAAACTATCTACGAGTGATTTAACACAAAATGTGGTCAAACAGCCGGAGCATGTGGCAGATGGTTTATGGGTGAAATCTATATCCTGGCAATAGTTAAATACAAACTAGCCATAATCACTCATCATGATCACGCGGTTAAGTATGAACTGAGGGAAGACTGTAATTTTGTTTCACATTAACCTAATGAAAAGAACAATGTCAAAGAGCCCAAGGGTTGGCTTTGCCTGTGTTTATCAGATTCCACAAGCCATATCTTTGGAAGGCTTGGATTAATGGCTCTTCTGCTGGCTCAGCAAGCCTCTCCCGCCACACCCATCCAATGGATTTTTTCAGATTATAGCAGGATACTACTACTCCCTGTCCTACAAGCTTGTTTTTCAAAGATGGAGTCCCACCAATAAATGTATATGCCAAATTAAAAAAAAAAAAAAAAAAGAAAACACCAGTAGAATAAAAGAGACAAAATGACATTCTTTAAAAACTGGATGTCCAATCCTAGTGAGGAAAATAGGAAGAAGCATAAACTTCTGTAAGTTAAGTGTGAATGTATAATAAGGCAAGCTTAGAGAGAATTTGAAGAATCAGCAAAAATCACAAAAACTAACTGCAAAAAAAGAAAAAAAAAGTACCTCAGAAGCAGGAAGGGGCTCCTGAATGACTGAAGTGCTAGAGAAGCACTCAAGGAAGACAAGGTGATTGTGCAGAAACTAAATCAATTTTTTGCACTGGTCTTCACTGCAGAGGATGTCGGTGAGATGTGAGCCTCTCCTCTGAGGAAATGAATCTGAGGACTTATCCCAGATTTAGGTGCCATTAGAAGTGGTTTTGGAACAAACTGATAAATTAAACAGTAGTAAATCCCCAGGACCAGATGTTATTCACCCAAGAGTCCTGAAGAAATTCAAATGTGAAACTGCAGAACTCCGAACTGTAGTATGTAACCTATCCTTTAAATCAGTCTCTGTCCCAGCTGACAGGAGAATATCTGATGTAACACTTATTTTTTAAAAGGCCCAAGAAGCAATCTTGGCAATCACAGGCAGCGTCAGTCAAACTGGTTAAAACTACAGTAAAGAAGAAAAATATCAGACACTTTCTCAACGTATTGTGTTTATGTAAGAGTCACAGATTTTGTACTGGGAAATCACCCTCTGTCAATCTGTTAGAATTATGAGGGTGTCAACAAGCATGACCTAGTCAATACAATATACTTAGGCTTTCAGAAAGCCTTTGACAAGGACCCTCTGAATCAAATCAAGCAGTCATGGGATAAGTGAGAAGGTTCTTTCAATAATCAGTGACTGGCTAAAAGAAAGGAAACAAAAGGTGGCAATAAATGATCAGTTTTCATAATAGAAAGAGGTAAATAGTGGTGTCTCAGCATTTCAGCTGGCAAGAAACTATTGATCAGTAATTCTAGTTGTGGAATCCTCATTCTATGATTATGGTCCTCCCTTTCCTATTGACCAGGTAGTTGCTCTACTAAGTCCAGGAAACTCCAGAAGGGTAAGTCCACCCTTAAAGACCAATGCCTGTACCGGGAAAAGAAAACCTCAAGATGCGATTCTGTTGCATCACATCAGCATAATGCTTCTGAAGGGACTCCCTTTGCAAGAATGATGGAGTGACACATAACAGCGCACTTCTGCCATGAGCTCTGACACGGGGATTGCCAGGATAGGAACGTAGGTGAGGAAACATATTGATAAAAGAAAATGTCTTTCTTCAGAGTGATGGAGTAAACTGGATTAGGATATATTCTTGTGCTCACATCCATAAATACAACAGTTTGATTCATGTCACCAGTTTCTGCTAATTTTTCTTATCCTGACACAAGAAAAACTTGAGAGAAACAATATCCAGAATCTTGTATATTGTCACCCATTTTCTCTCTCCAGTAACCAGGGACCAAAACAGCTACAACAACAATGAATGCACCACATTTTTTTGTTAACTAACCATTCAGATTGTTTTGTATGAATGAAACACCATTCCACAATAGAAACCCGAAGATTATGAAACATGGAACTCTAAAATCCCAAAATTACGCTCAACACATCTCTTGTCATTAGTTGCCCATAGGGTAGAAACTTTCATCTTTCATAGACACAATATCCACATCGCGCTAATTCTACCCCCACGGGGAAACAAACAGAGACATTCTTAACCCATCCAAAAGAAAGACAAAAATCTCACCGGTGACCACAGACAATAAAATGCTTCAGTATGAGCTGCGCAGTGGTTGCGAAAATGCTGTTGTTCCTTGTGTTCCATATACATCCCACAGAAAGAGATTGTATAAATACCCAGTTGATATTACAAGCACGTGACAGATCTAGATAAGCACACATGACAAATCCAAGTCAGCATTTGCCTAAGGCAAGATGAGCACAGCCTATTCCTTCTGGAGAAAGTCCTCTTGGAAAAATGAGAAGACAGTTCAATGTATTCTGAGAGATTTGACTATAAGGATGCTATTTTGGAAATGAAACAGAAGGAAAGCCCCATGCAATTTCCAAAGCACTGCAGTGTTCAAACTGCCAATCTGTCTGACCACCGGAATGGGAAACAAGAAAGAAATCAAACAAGTTTCAATCTCTCCGCTCAAAAACAATCACTTCTATGAGGAGGTGGAGCTCTAGATTCCAACCTGACATTGTTTAACATTTTAATGCTGAAAGGATGTAACCGTCGGCCCTAGATCACAGTCCGTGGTTTGCTAACATGCCTATGACCTCTTGCCTCTCTCAGTTTTGACTAACCAATTTCCTCAGCGACCCTCTTACTTTGAGCTATCAGCACCTGGCAAGCTGCCTCCTGATCAAACAGACATTTATCTGTCACCACCTCTGAGTGAATGTCGGAACCAGGGCGCTCCTGAACACATATTAGTGAGACAACCATGTCTGCGGCCACGCTGGGAGCAATCCATGCAGACATATTTCAGCTAAACTGAGGAAAATTCTGCAGACCTTTCACAGGCAACTGGCTCCAAGGGACCCAGAGGTGCACAAGAGCCTAGCAGACTTGAGGGTTCACCTAGGATTGGTGTGCATGCCTATATCTGCAGAGGATTACTTCCAAGAAAGGCAGGCATGGGAACCTCTGTCCTCCTTCCCTGAGTGACTTTCTTTCTGATGCAAAAGAGTTCTTGCTTCTCAACATAATTTCTTTGGTCCCAGTAGCTCCTAGAGGCCCTTGTCATGCTTGGAGCCCTGCTGTGCTAAGCACAACATGGCAAGGAAGGGGGATGGGAAAAGAACAAACTCTCCTCCCCATTTTGCAGTATGTGCACACAGGCCATGTTTTCATGTCCCACTCAGAAGTGGGCCTAGAACAGATAGGCTACGTCTAGACTGGCATGATTTTCCACAAATGCTTTTAACAGAAAAGTTTTTCCGTTAAAAGCATTTTTCCATTAAAAGCATTTGCGGAAAAGAGCATCTAGATTGGCACAGATGCTTTTCCGCAAAAGCACTTTTTGTGGAAAAGCATCCACACCAATCTAGATGCAGTTTTACGCAAGAAAGCCCCGATTGCCATTTTCGCCATCGGGGCTTTTTTGCGCAAAACAATACCGCGTTGTCTACACTGGCCCTCTTGTGCAAAAGCATTTGCGCAAGAGGGCTTTTACCCGAACGGGAGCAGCATAGCATTTCCGCAAGAACACTGACAATCTTACATGAGATCGTCAGTGTTTTCTTGCGGAAATTCAAGCGGCCAGTGTAGACAGCTGGCAAGTTTTTTCACAAAAGCAGCTGCTTTTGTAGAAAAGCTTGCCAGTCTAGACGCAGACATAGGGTGTATGCAGCAGCAGAGAGACAGGTTAGCCTCAGTAAACATTACACGGTGCCATTTACTGATTGTTTTAAACACACCCAATTTACAGGACGAGCACCAAGCCTGAAAACAACTAACCTGAGGAGCAGAAAGAGGCTCTGCAGCGTTTAACAACTTGAGGTCTACAGAGAGACACAGTGATGCACTTTCTCTAAATGAGATGTGAACAGAAGATCATTTACCTCCTAGACACACCTCATGTTCACACTCATGCATACATACACACAAGAGATCAATGCCACACTATCCCAAACACTTCTAAATTAGTACTGGACAGGAAGCTTTCCCTGCCCTGAGCCATCTTCCCTGGGACTATTCATCTAGCAGGAAAAGCACTTTCCATTCCCCCATACATTTAGGGCTTCAATCAGTTGGTACTAGGGTTCCCGGCAACTTGCAAAGGTGCTCAGCATGAGACAGGACTGAGCCTCAATCTACCACCCAATTGCTCCCTTTATATAGTGTAGACTAGAGGGAGTTCTCCTGGAAAGCTCCAACTCAGTGCCCGCCAATTAGCCGTTTTCTCCAACAGCTCAGGGATCCTATTGTCCCTTGTGTTCGCTGGAGACAGAACAGGGCTTGCTGGGTGGAGGGGAAGGGATAGCTGAAATGTGACAGCAACCATTAATAATTATGATTGAAGGATGACAGGCAGCTGAAAGAGATGGGGATTGGAGTCTCACAACTTCACCAAATCATTGATGACGGGTCATCCTGCTCTAAACATTTACTCCTGGAACATGCTCTTCTGACAAATCTCCTGCCCTTCCCCCCACTACCATATTACATATGGGCCTGGGGGATGGGAGCCCCCACAAAGAGATAATCTGCACACAGCACCCTGATGTTCACCAGCCCCCAAGAGGGTGAATGCAAAATACCAACAATGTGGTGGATGAAAACAACAGCATCATGGATTCTCAAATGCAGGTCAAGTACCAATAATGTTTTGGGTAAATGCCTCCCACCTAGACTCTGGTAGCAGCAGGGAAAGCAGGATAAAGATTAAGGGGTGTATGTGGTTTGCATCTCTGAAGAGTGTGTGTGCATGCACGCATGTGTGCCTTATTATTGTGTCAGCATGTCTAAAGAGTGTATGAATACACATGCATGTGTTTTAATATTGTATCTGTGTGTCTTAATATTGTCTGTGTGTCTTTTAAGAGTCTCTCTCACTCTCTTTTTTAATATTCATCCTATCTGCTTTGCTTCCTGCTTTGGTGTACAGCCAGTGAAGAATCCTTCCTTGTTATAGTTTACACATACACACAAGCATGGTGTGCTTGCCTCCCAAGACCTCTGTGAAGTTGGCTGCCCTCCAAATCCCCATATTGTAAGACAAGGCTTACCAGTTCCACTTGAGGACCCAATCCTTCCAGAATCCTGTGGGCAGCTTCTGCTTTTTTCTGCAAAGAGGAAGGGGGAGAGAGGAGGAAGAGAAGTTATTTCTCTGTTGCAGATCAGACTTTCAGCCCCATGCTTCCCAGCAGAAAATCTTTTTTAAAAAAGACTGCTAAATTTGACCACCACCACCCTCACCCCACGGTGCTAGGAGAGAGGCAAGGTTAAAAAAAGCAGAGCTCCAGATCTGCAGTACAACACCGCAGATAAAAGGAATGTTGGCTAAGTTACTGTATGTTTAACACACATTCATCTGACCACCACCACCCTCACCCCACGGTGCTAGGAGAGAGGCAAGGTTAAAAAAAGCAGAGCTCCAGATCTGCAGTACAACACCGCAGATAAAAGGAATGTTGGCTAAGTTACTGTATGTTTAACACACATTC